CTTAGTTTCTCCTGCATCATGCCTGCCTAGGTGCTGTCATGCTCCTGCCTTGATGATAATGGACTGAACCTCTGAACCTGTAAGCCAGCCCCAATTAAATGTTGCCCCTTATAAGAGTTACCTTGGTCATGGTGTCTGTTCACAGCAGTAAAACCCTAACTAAGACAGCCATAGAGGAAATTCTTTTTTTCTCCAAAGTAATGGTGCTGATGTGCTAGACACAGGCTGGAGTAGCAGCTGCTGCCATGTACCTCACCATGGGGCCCAGACATGAAGAAGGGCAAGTCTTTGACTTGGCAGCCCTGGGTCCAGCTGCATCCAGAGCCAAAGTCCTTGGTCTTCTCAGCTCTATTCAGCTGATGAACACGATCAGGGAAAATTCAACCTAGCTAGTTTTCTGTCTGCATTATGTCAATCTGACAGAAACTAGATCTTGAGCCAGAAAGGAGAACTAAACTGAATCCCATCTGTCAGATCCCAAAGTCTGGAACCTTGGGAAATTGGTACCACGTTCTCCTTGATTCTAAGCAGCCTGGGCCTGTCAGTCATTCTACCAGCCAGCACCCAGTCCTGTTCAGCAGCCCAGGGCTGTTCTTACAGTTTCCACTAAGAAAGAAAGTAAGAAAGGAAGAGAGAAAGAAAAAGAAAGAAAGAAAGAAAGAAAGAAAGAAAGAAAGAAAGAAAGAAGGAAAGAAAGAAGGAAGGAAGGAAGGAAGGAAGGAAAGAAAGAGCTATACCTCACATACCACAAAATTCACTCGTTAAAAATGCAGCACTCAGCAGTTTTCTGTGTATTTACACAGTCAGCAACCATGACCACTTACCTAGTTCTAGAACCTTTTCATTACTCCCAAAAGAAACCCAACACCTACAACCATCATCTGTCCATTGTCCACTTCCTAAGCCCTATGGGATTGCTCCTTCTGAACACAAGCACCATTTTAACTTGTAGCTGGTAGCAAAAGCAGCACCAGAGAGCAGAGTGGCTAAACGCATGGACTCTGGTATCTCACAGCCTCCAATCTGAGTACTGTCAGACTAGCTGTGTGACTTGGGCAAATGAGTGAACTTCTCTGAGCCTAGGCTCTTTCACCTGTGTAATCAGATAAACTGCTTGTGATGATTAAATGAATGGACTGTGCCCATGAGTAGAGCCTCAGAGATGCTGGTTGTTTTTACTGACATTATCCCATATCACCAATGAGAACGCTCAGACACGGAAGACTAAAGGAATGGGCCCAAGGCCATACAGCAGAGTGTGGCTGGGCTCAGGTCTGAGCCCTCTGCTTTTTCTGTTACACTACACCAGCTCAGCTGCTCCTCCTCCAGATCTGAGCCCTCCCCTCACACTCGGAGTTACGTCACTTCTAAAAAAGTAAAATAAAATAAAATAAAACAATCAAGGCCATGTGCCAAATGGGTCATGGAAATCATGAAATGATCTAATGTGAAGTGTCATGGTCCCCCATGGGCTGGTCTTCTTGCCTAGTCCTTGGGGACCATTGAGTTGTGTAGCTCAGCCTCTCCCATCCTTCTGGGGTTGATATGGGGGTGAGAAGGCTACTTCTAGCTTGAGCCAGACCTCTGGAATTACATGGCTTTCCCACTCTGCCACCACGCCATCTGGGACTCCTTAGAACTGGATGAATCAGGGCCTCTGAACAGCTTCATCATGCCAAGGGTGGCCACCGGAGGCAGACCATTCTGTTCTAGTAAAGCCCCGGTCATTGCTACACGGAGCTTGGAAGAAAACTTGACTTAAGTTGTGGTAGAAGCAAGGTCAGTAAGAACATGGCGTAATAAGCACAGGATTTGGGCTGGAAAGACTTGTGACTGGACCTTGCAAAGCAGGTCACCATGGGTGTCACATCCGTGGAGAGCAATAGCTCACTCTTAACACACTGGGTCAGGTCCGTCTCATTTCGCAGTCATAACAAGTCCCCAGGTTGGGACGCACAAAGGAAATGGAAGCTCAGAAATGTAGAGAGGAAACACCAGGTGAGGCCTGAAAAGAGAAGGCTGAACCTTGAACTTGAGTTTGCCTTTATCCTCAGGCCAGGCTGGAATAAAAACTTCAAGGAACAATCTAGCTGCATTGCTTAAACCCCAGCAATTAGACACATTCACAGGGCTCCCTCCCACCCTCATTCGAATCTCCTCCTCCAGCTGGCATTCTCTGAGCTTGTATCACCTGCTCTCCACCACAGCTGACAGGCTGCTGTGGTGTCTGACCCAGGATCCTGGACATCACCAGACTCTTTCCCCCGGAGTCTGACACCCAGGGACTTCAGGTTGCTGACAGCAGAGAAAGACAGTTGACAAAAGTTGCTGACCTGATGATGCTTAGGCATTGGCCGATGGGCAGCCGAAGAGGCTGTTCTAAATGCATCAGTGAGAAAATAAGGCAGCTTGGTCAGAGGCCACAAGACAGATGGGCAGGAGCTGCCAGTGGATACGGGGTCCTTTCAAGGCCACAGCAGTGTTTGTTCTCGGCTCTAGACAACACTCTGCTCTGCCTGTGAACCCACCCCACTCCTCTCTTCATGTGGCAACTAGTCAAGTGGGCTCTGCTCTGCAGACGTGAATAACCCCTTGGATGACAAACATGTTGTTCTTGTTCCTCAGCACCACTGTTCCTTGTTGGAGGTGCCAGGCTGGCAAGAAGCCCTGAATACATACCAAGGCAGAGCTCCCAAGGTAGACACCACTGCCTAGAACAGCAGCAGCCTAGCAATGGGCAAAAGCTGTAGGTCATTTGCGTTATCACTCATTTTCGTGAAAGGGCAGGACAGCCCTAAATGCTCTCTCACATGGGGCTTCTGTGTGTCACTTGCTCAGGGCACTGGATGGTGACTGACCAGTGCCTTCTTTCCATCCGTGCTTTCTTCTCACCTGTCTGCTCATTCTACATGGTGGTTAGCTTATTAATTGCAGGGCTGGGCTCAGTCTCCTGGCCGTCTTTGTATGAGGCACACACTTTCCCACTTTGCAGCATCCCACCCCGTAGCATGTTTTACAGATAGCCCCGCTGTTTATTTATACTCGGCTCGTTTGCAGCAGAGCAGCAGAAAATTATAGGTGTACGTGACACTGCTCGATGCAGCTGCATGCTGTTGAACACAAAGCATCACCGATGAGCTCATTATGTTTTAAATAATAGTGACTGGTATCGCTTTACACGAAGCAGAGACTCTGGGCTGCGTGTCATGAAGGCATGAGAAACTGTCTTAACTGCACTAAAGAAATCAGTTAGGAGCCTGTTGCTGTCTGCCCTCCTCCTTTACAGCAGTGGGACACAGGCTCTGGACATCCTCCAGTTCACACTGGCAGGAAGTGCTTGGGTTTATGTAGACAAGGAAGCCTGCAGTTAATATTACCCAGCCCCTGGGAGAACCTGAGATTCTCCTTCCCAGCCCAGGCTATGCCCCTGATGCCATGCTGGGACAGGAAAGCCCATTCATTGGCTGCCATAGTGATTGGCATAGGGCTAAGCCTATGACATGCAAAGTGTTTGCCAGGATATATGAGAAGTTGTGGTGGTTTGATTAGGTATGGCCTCCATAGATTTATGTATTTAAATGCTTGGTCCATAGGGAGTAGCACTATTAGGAGGTGTGGCCTTGTTGGAGGAAGTGTGTCACCGTGGGAATGGACTTTAAGGACTCCTATGGTCAAGCTACACCTAGTGTGGTACACAGTCTCCTGTTGATTAAGTTGTAGAATTTTCAGCTCCTCCAGCACCATGTCTGCCTGCACACTGCCATGTTTCTTCCCATAACCATAACGGACTAAATCTCTTTAGAAGTTGTAAGCTATAATGTTTTCCTTTATAAGAGTTGCTATGGTCATGGTATCTCTTCACAGCAATAAACTCTAACTAAGACTGAAGTCATTGCTATTCTTTCTTACAGAGTGTGAGCCCAGAACTGCTAGAGCCATTTGCCATCGAGTGTGACTAAAGATGTAGCCAATACCACTTGTGGGGACATAGAAGGAGACATCAGGTCAGACAGCAGAATGAAAACCTCACACTGAGTTGTGCCTGAAGCCTGGGAGCCTTCTCCTGGGATATTCAATGAAGGAACTCTGAGTTGGTCCTGTCACACCATTCATCCATCGCGGATGGAGGCTCACACTGCACCTCACCAAACGGTAGGGAGAACACACAAAAGTTCAGAAAGTCAGGGACTTCCCTTAGTGTCTGTGGCAGATATTGTCTACAGAACTTTGTCACACGATCTCCTGAAGTACACTGACTTCTCCAGTCTCTTTGGAGCTGCTATTGGAGATACTGATGTGAAGTTGCCAGCCCAGGGTTACCTAATGGATATGGTTCCTACTGCGCTGTGAGCGCCTACTGAGTTACCCAGCTCATGGTGAGACTGGCTGTACATGCTTGTTTGTTGGTCCATCCATCCATCCATCCATCATCCATCCATCCATCCATCCATCCATCCATCCATCCATCCACATACTCACACATGCAAACATGCACCAATAGCTAAGTGAACACGTGCTATGTGCCAGGGCTTGAATAAAAACATTAAAAAAAGAAAGAACAAGAAGGACATGGTTCCTACCCATGACTGTCACAGTCTGGAAGGGACAGAGAAGCTGACAACATCAGTATAGAGGGCAGAACAGATGGCTTCTGTTCTGAACAGAGAACAAAGTCACACAAGTCTTCCAGAAGCTGGGAATCTTGGTGGTAGAGAGTTATCCAGCCAACAAGCCAAGTAAGAGAGCACAGGGTACAAGCCCAGGTGAGGGGCAGTAGTGTAGAAGCCAGCAGGTGGGGCTGGGGAGATGTGTATGAAAGGTGCCCAGACAGACTTCAGTATCCTGGATCACCACGTGGTCACTGTAACAAAACTCAGACGAATATGGTTCCAGAGCCGCCTCCAGGCTGGCAGCCAACAAATGCGTCTTCCCTTATTTAGGCTCTAAATTCACAGTGTACGGACATCCAATTAACCTCCTCCCCCACGACAGATGCCTACCTGGAGGTCAAAAAACTTGCTGTATCGCCGGTAGATGGCCTCCGTGACGCCGCTGGACCACGTGACTCGGATGATGTAGACCTGCAGGGAGGGAACAAGGAGACAAGTATTAACCACAAGGAGACAACATGGTTGGAGCACTCTCTCTCTAGTCCAGGCTCCAGGAATTTCATCCCCATGGGACACAGCAGGGAGGTAAACCTTTGAGGGGTGTTGAGTGGGCTAAGGGCTCAGGGGTAGGTCCTGGTGCCCAGCGGATTTGTTAGAAAAGTGAGTTTAGTCCAGCCATCCTCCTGTGCTCTCATCCACCTTCCTTCTGCTGCTGTGAGCTAAGCATCCTAAAGTCCCCTGCCAGAGGCCAGCCCCTTGATCGTGGACTTCTAAGCTTGTAAGAAATATACCTCTATTCTTTACCAATTACTCACCAGTGCCGTTCAACTGCAACAACACAAAGCAGACTAAGGGAATCTATCATCTCTGAGACTGAGGAGGAGTTAGAGCCAGGAAACCTGTATGCTTCGATCTCAGTTTGGCCAAGGACCAGCTGGACCAGTCAGTCCCTTGCTGTCTCTAAGCTGTAGCTCCCTCCCTCCTCAATAGAAGAGGAATAATAGTTCTTGCCTGCAGAGCTGTGTCAGGATGGGACAGGTCAGCTTGGGCCGCTGCTACTCCCAGCACTATCTGCTCCCCATGTGGCTCTTCTGCCAGAGTAAGTCTTTAAAACCTTCCCATTTATCCAGAAAAGTCAGGGTGCCTGAATCCTCAACCTCTTCTACAGTATGAGTGTTGCGCCATCCTGACGTTTCCACCAGTGAGGACGCAGGCTAATTCAGATGTTCCCTTGAGTCTCAGTTTCTCCATCTGTGAATTGGAACTTGCTTCCTCTGCTTCCCACGCTGTATGAGCATCTAACAAAATCAAAGTCTCTCACCTTGACCACACACCACAGCATCCACACGAAACAATATACTGATAACAAGTGTGGGGGAAACTGAGGTACCTGTTGGCAGGCAGGCATGTACCTCAGTGGGGTCAGCAGTTGCCCCTGCTGGCTTCAGCTGGCATTGGTTACCATAGCACCTCATCTTTTCTCCAGGGAACCTCGTCTCCATCTTGCTCAGCTCCTTAGAAACAGAGGAGGCACTATTCTTGGTGACCCAGAAGGGATGACATGTGACCTGATCTGGGCCAGCTGAGGTCGCTAAGAGTCAGCCATGAGACCTCACTCTTCTCATCAGGAGACTAAGGATACAATCTGACCATGTCTATTTCCACTTGAAACTAAATCTACAGACACCTGTTTTCTGGGCCAGTAATTACCATGTGGTCCACAGAGAGCTATGTATAATTATAATAAATCTGTGTAATTACAGTAAAATAGTTTAATTATCATTTTTACTTATACATACAAATGGGGCATGGTATGATCATCTGATGTATGCATACCATGTAATAGTGATAAAATAGTGTGTTTGTGATATATGATTGACATATATGATAGACACATGATAAATACATGTGTATATGCATATATAGATACATACACATATGTACACACATATACACACATAATGGTGCTGGGGTTGGAAATTGAAGAAGTTTAAGCTGAAAGAAACTGTAGAACTCAGCTAAGCTAATGACTTGGCCTTCTAGTTGGATAAACTGAGGCTTAGAAAGAGCAACCACACTACCAAAGGTCTCTGTCCCTGGAGATGCCCAAGCAAAGTTTGATTGGATGCTAAAGACATGACCATTGAAGGTTAACAGAAAAAGAAAGGATATTAAGAAAGACTGTCAAATACTTTGTTTTCTTAAAATCAACACAGAGCATCTTCCTACAAATGGAAAGCCTTCTTAAGTACAATTCACTCCTGGCTTCCCGTTCCCATTCTGAAGTTGTTGGACTGCGGCAGGCCACACTGCTTTATGGGAATGAAGCTCTGAGCAAATCTGATGCAGTGCTTGTAGGCACAGGCCAGACTCTGTCACACGCTCTTCACAGGCTGGTCCTATGCTCGGTCCTGAGGGCTGAGGGTTGGAGCACACTAGCTCTGCGGCTACTGGACATTCACGAGGTGCTGGCCTCTCTGGCTGTGGCGCCCTTACTCTGGAATGGAGACAGCAGCCTCCTTGAGGATTAAGCATGACAGCCAACAGCTATGGACCTTGTCTAGCTGCTGGTGCATATTAAGAGTGCTCAGCTCCTCCCATGCTGTGGTCGCCCTGTGCTTCTGTCTGGTACCCTTCCCCCATTTTTGGCTCCAGTACCAGTTTCTCTTGGAGAATTACCTCCCTCCTTTCTCACTGTTTTGCTATAGGGAGGCGTGTTTACCCCACCTGGTCAAATACAGCACTGCCTGGGTTTGGCCATAAAATAGGGCCCTCACCTGACCCAAGCCAGGCTGACAGGACTCAGGATCTCTGATGGCATCATAAGATTCTTTCCTCCTGAAATGCCCTGGCGGGAGAACACCATGCAAAAAAACAACTCCACGATAAGCACTTGCTATATGGAAGAAAGCCAAGGAAAGACATGATGTCTATATGGGATGCATTTTTAAAAGCCTCAAAACTCACTAGCAGACAAACTAATTCAATTACAAGAGACATGTAAAAGCCCCGCCTGGGCGCATCACCAGGGGGAACAGACAGATGGCGGGAAAGCCAGTGAGGAGGCAGCAGTGCCACCAGCCTTTGGAGAAAAGCAGACTAAATAGTGATGAGAGACAGTACTACTGTTTGGTGAACATCCACACAGGGACCATGTGTTACAGGCCTGGTCACCAGCGTGCAGTGAAACCATCAGTAGGCGGAGACTAGAAGGAGGAAGTTATGTCATTGGGGCGTACCCTCGACTTGCATGTTGAGACTCCTGTCTCTTCCTGTCCTTCTTTTCACTTCACAGCCAACATGCTGCACCATACATTCCCGCCATGATGTATGTTGTCATCACGGATGCAAATGTAAAGGAGATAACTTCTCTTGACGTCTGAAAATAAGAGCCAAAGCAACCTTTCCCTCTTGTGAGTTATCTCCAGCACTTTGTCATAGTAACGGAAGAGTGGCACAATAGAGAATGGATCGGCATGGATGAAGCAGAAAATACTCACAGTGTCGGGCATGACAGTGCTGTCTGTAATCCCAGCACTTGCAAGGTGAAGCAGCAAGATTAGGGATTCAAGGCCAGCCTGGGCTACATAATGAGACCCTCATCCTAGTTGTCACCGTGTCAGCTTTCCTATCCCTGTGATAGAATGTCTGACTGGACTCAGAGTCAAGAGTAGTCAAGGTTCCAGAGGTGTCAGCCTTTCACAGAGGGAGGACATGGTGGGTCAGAGCAGCTCACTCTGTGGCAGGCGCAGAGAAAAGGGTAAACAAGAAGGAAGGGTTCAAAGCAAATACAGCCTCTGAAGCGCACAGATGACAGACCATTTTTAAGTAGGCCCGCCTCTGAATGCCGCAGCATTGTAAATCCATCAACTGATGCAACGCACCCATCGGCCTGCCCTTTCTGGAAACACCATCCGAACACAAAGGTGTGGGATATTGATCTCCTAGGCGCTACTCAATCCAATCACCCAAGCTGATGGTTACAACGAACGGGTGCCATCTTGGTCATCACAGTAAGCACAGGTACGAATGCTGAGAGTAAGTGGGCCTACCTCTCCAAAGGACTCTCACCTCATCACACTGCTCCTTCCCCAGGACTCTCAACCCAGGAGCTCTGGGTGGGCCTTGCCCTGCTGGGGAGCTGTTTCTGTGGGTCTCACAGGGACACAGAACTGTACCTCCAGCTTACCTCACCAAGGCTTGGGCAGAGGTTCCTAGATCCTGAATGAGTTTGGGCTTTGTTCCTTCTTCCTGGTGCCTATGGGGAGTCCTGACACCCCAGCCTCCACATCTAGACCTCAGTCTGCCTGGAAAGAAGTCCTGAGTCAGGTGCTGGAGAGCTGGCTCAGCAATTAAGAGCACTGGCTGCTCTTGGAGAGGTCCTGAATTCAATTCCTAGCAACCACATGGTAGCTCACAATCATCTATAATGAGATCTGATGCCCTCTTCTGGCATGCAGGTGTACATGCAGATAGAACACTCATATACATCAAATAAATGAATCTTAAAAAAAAAAAAGTCTTGAGTCTGGCCAAATGCCGATCACACACCGGAGAGCCTGCTTTACCTCTATGTAGGGTTAGAGATCACCCCAGGAGCTGTGGGTTGGCCCTATCCTGCTGGGAACTACCACTGAGAAGTCACTGGCTGCTCAAGGATGCTGTGAAGTGTTTTGTGGCCTGGGCCAGAGTGACTCCCTTCCTCTGAGGACTACCCACCTGTCCTGGTTAGACTTGGAACACTTTCTTAGGCAGGAAGGAAAGCAGCAACAACACTCTAATGGATATAACTTGTGAGGCCACCTATCCTGCTTGTCCCCATGGCCAGGGCTGAGTGGCCCACAGAGACAGTCCTCTTGCTGGGGAATAAGACCTGAGCTGCCCAGCCCCACACAAAAGACAAAGCCTGGAGGCACAGCCACACACAGGGTAAACATCTGCTTTACAGAGAGACACAAGTGATGGCCGCTACACCATAGAGTCCCAGGAAGAACCGACCTTGATCTGGCCAATGCTCAGGATTCTGCTTCCAGGCCCTGTCTCTGGTTTCTATTCTGCACAGCAGGGCCTGGGCTTTCCCCCTTAGCTCCCCTTCTGGCAAGACAAGGAGGTTTGTGCAACTAACAGAACTCCTGGGTTATGTTAAAGTTCTTACACTAAAGTCAATCCCTCAGCTTCAGAGGGAGTCATAGTTGGCCTCTGTACCCGAGGTTCTGTTTATGTAGGTGGAAATGGTAAATTGATATTGGCCTGTACTTAACATACACATTTATCTGATCTTCTAGTCATCTTACCAAGACAATAGTCATACCAATATAATCTAACACTGTTCACCCTGCATCCCTATTGGTACCAAGTAGCAGCATCATAAGTGACCTACAGATACAGAAAGCACAGCGGAGGATGTGTGCAGGTTATATGCAAATATTGTGCTATTTTACATAAGCATCTGCAAATGTAGATAACTGTGG